CAGAGATCGACGTCTTTGGTGACGTTTATGTTCGACCTGGGAATGAGTTGGCCGAGTCCCTTCATGTAAGTATTATGTATTTTTAATTCTTATGTTACACTTTCAATTTATATGCATTTTTGAATTTATATTTTATGTAATGTTAAACAGACGACGATGGTGGAGAGGAGCCAGTTGGTTCTTCAAGAGTCCGCCTCCCAACTTCCTCCCGAGACTCCGATCGAGTCTGTGGATCCTCCGCATGATGCTGGATTTCAGATTTTGACGCAGACGTTGGATCAGACTCTCGGGAGGAGGCCGGGAACGTATTGTAGGGGGATGGGGAATGCCCGACAGAGGGAACCTCGACCGCGGTCATCGTCGCAGGCAAACAGTCAGGTGACTGTTTTGACATCGCGGGTTGCCGAGCTTGAGGGTCAGATGTCGGTGATTCTGCAGTCGCTCGCGCGGTCCGGGATTCCAATCCCGAATTTTGGTGCGTCGACCTCCGAGCCCGTCCAGCCCGAGCATCCCCAGCACACCACGGCCCCTGCAGACACCCATACCTCCGAGCCGCCTACCTCCGAGCCGCATGTGGCAGATGACCAATTAGATTTCGGAACATTATTTGATTAGTTTTTTATTTTTATAATTATTTTTACAATTTGTATACATTTATTTTTTTTTATATAATAGATGTTTTCTTTACGATTAATTTTTTTTATAGTAATTTCATTTTAATTAAAAACAAAAAACAAAATTTATTTTTTTACAAAATTAAAAATCAAATAATAATAAATTTTTTTTAATAATATATATTGCTTTTGCGCGACGAAACATAAATCGTCGCGCAAAAACATTTAAATATATCTTAATCTTGCGCGACGAGTAATTTCGTTGCGCAAGATGTGTATGCGCGACGAATATGATGTCGTCGCGCAGTTTTTTTTGCGACGACTTCTGTTTCGTCGCGCAAATATTTGTGCGACGGACAATGAGGTCGTCCCGATATGTTTTTTGAAACGAAGATGTTATACATAGCGCAAACTGCGCGACGAATGACATTTGTTCGTCGCGCAAATGCTTTCTTCACGACCTTTGCGCGACGGATTGAGCGCGACGAATATTCTGTCGCGCATAATGATGTGCGACTAAAATCGTTTTTGCGCGACGAAAACAGTTTCGTCGCGCAAAGACTAAAATGTAGTAGTGTATGCTCTAAATGTGAAGAGGGAAATACAATATAATGAACTAAAGAATAACATAATTATGGAAATGTGAAGCCCGTAGACTACACAGAGCTCCTACACAAACTTACTTGAGACAAACTTTAATAAGATTGATACTTCAAATACACTACTACAGTACAGCACACACTCTTGATACACACATAACATAGAGTGGATACGCCGCCTATTTATAGGCCATAATATTAACTCAACATTAAACATAACCATAACCACTAAACCTCACTTTAACTTCAACTCATAAACTAGACATAATAGCTAAACCCTTTAGATTATAACTTTTTATTTTCTTAACTTCTGACCTTTGAAATTACCCCAACAATTTACTGTCCTCCACAGGGGTGGAACCACAGCCAGTAACTTGAACAAAAACTAATGATAAACCATAAGAAGTTGATGCCTCTTGGTTTTTTCTCAAAGTGCTATCTTCTTTTCTTTATCTGCCGACTTTTTTTTTTTTTTTTTTTTTTTTGTGAAATTATATGTTGTCTCTGGAAAAAGGTTTTTGAAGAAGAAAAAAAACTTATATGGCCCATCATCAACTACAACATTAGGGAAATATTATCTCAAGTTTATTTGTATTCTTTTTCAAGAACAAAACTTAGACCCAAAAAAAAAAAAAAAAAACCGAACAGTACGTTAACCTAAATATATTGTTCTTGTGCTTATATATATAACTTAATTATTTATATTTTTGCACTTTAAAGTATGTCAAAAATTTGCATTTTATAAGCTTATACGGATATTTTAATAGATTCAAACTGCAAAAGTAAGATTTAAAATTCTTGGTCCCATCCTTGGTCCTCCACATCTGCTCCATCCAGTTGAGTTTCATTTTTTTTTTTTTCAAATTTGTAGAGCAAAAGTATGACAGATCACCTCGTAGGACGCTGGAAGTAATGTGGAGCGTGACTTTGGAAGGGTAATGTTTTCTGTCAGTTATTTACTATGCTCCACAGGGACGGAACCACAGCCAGTAAGTTTTGAACAAAAACTAATGATAAACCACAAGAAGTTACTGCCATTTGGTTTTTTCCTTTGCAAAATCTGCTGCCTTTGGTTTCGTTTTTTCTCAAAGTGCTATCTTTTTTTTCTTTATCTGAAGATTTTTTTATTTTTTGTGTGGAATTATCTACTGCCTCTAGTAAAAGGTTTTTGAAGAAGAAAAAAAAACTTATATGGCCTACCATCAACAGAACTCAAACAAAACTCAAGTTTATTTGTATTCTTTTTCAAGAACAGAACTCAGACAAAAAAAACAAAAAAAACAAAAAAAAAAAAAAAAAAGGTTAATGAGCGTGATATACAATTAGAGCTTGTATTTGCACTTTTGTGCCGATTATATTAAATAAATGTCCTTTAATATTTTCGGAACTGAAAGTGTCAATGCAAACCTCCCTCAATCCCTTGTATTTTTTTTTCAAAAACCTACTTGTGGAAGCAGGAAGTGATGTGGAGCATGACTTTGGAAGGAGAAATAATTTTTTATTGCTACTTCTATAACTATTAGTAATTAGTGGTGAACATATCCAAGTTGACAATAGTGATCGGCTGCCTTTTTCAGTGTTCAGTGTTTCAATCCCTCCCCAAAACCCAAACTCGACAACAGTGATCGGCTGCCTTTTTCGCTAAGAAAATCCTAGTTCAACAAATTGCAATGAAGAAAAAGTGTTCTTCTTTTCCATTATTTTCCTTCTATTCTTTACGCACCCACCAAACAACAAATAAAGATGCCAAAGCTGAATTCATGACCAGAAAATAAAACGAAAAAAAAAAAAATAGAAGATGACGAATTGAAGATCAAAAAATCAGCGGGTGTGGTTAAAGAAAAAGACGGTGGAGTTGAGAAATTAGAATGAGAATTCCCTAAAACCTAGAATGGAAAACCAAAAGCATAGAGAAGCACAGATACTAAAGCCGATTTTACCTGAACATTTTGCAGACTTTTGGGTTCCGACTCGTAGTAAACATGGACTGAGTAAACATGGTTTTACATATTTAAAAGGCAATATGAGGAAAACACATGGTTTTACATTTACATCTTTAAAGGCAATATATGCAATAAGAGGAAAAGACATTAAAATAATTTCTAGGCAATAGACTATTCAAATCCACTTTTCATATGGATGAAGGCAAAAGCATGAACTCTGGATTCAAACGAAGACATAATTATGTTTTTCGAATGACGAAAGAAAAAATTACTACAATTCGGCCCTTTCCTATCATAGAGAACTACAAGAATTAGTTGAAGAGATAACAGAAAATCGAGTTAAGAAAAAGAGATTTAAGGAGATAGAAGAAGGAGAAGAAGGAGGCTTACCCGTTGGAAAGGAGAGAAGATATGCCGCTGGAAATTGTCCCGTTGGAGAGGGCTGAGAGACGGCACTGAGACTGAGAAAATTTCGAAGAAAATCGAATTAAGAGAGAGAGAGAGAGAGAGAGAGAGAGAGAGAGAGATTTAAGGAGGTAGAAGAAGGGAGAAGGAGGCTTACCGGTTGGAGAGGAGAGGAGATGCAGCCGCCGGAAATTGTCCGCTGGAGAGGAGGAGCCGCTGTAGTCGAGATGGAAGAAGGAGAGGAGCGACTCGAAATGGAGGAGAGAATGACCCAACCCTAAGGGGGTGTATCCATTCTAACTTTAACGACTTTTTTCTTTTTGAGAGTTAAGAGCAGAGAGAAGAACTTTGGGATTTTTGACAGGGAGAGAAGAGAGAGAGAGAGAGTTAGGTTTAAGACTTAGTGAAATTTTTTGAGGGAAAGGGGAAATTTTTTTAGGGAAAAGGATGAAATATTTTTGGGGGAGTTGACCTGGGTATAACACATCGGTCATTGAAACTTTTACTTTAAAAAAAAGAAAAAGAAAGATATATGGCATCAATTCAAATATTGATCGATGCTACTTCCATATAAAGGCATCGGCTCAGATTGCCCAATATTGGTTGTGATGTCTTTACACTCCTATGGCCTCGGTTTTTATAAAACTGAAGCCTAAGAGACTAATAGCATCAATTTCATGTTTCACCGATGCCTATTAAGTGTTGCCTAAAGTGAATTTTGGCATAGTGGTACTTTGTTGCCTAGTTTTGTTATGTTTATGTACTGACAATTTAGTTGCTTGGTGGTGAAAATTTCAATGTGTTGCAACCGAAATTTTTTGGATGTAGTCAAGAATTGTAAGTCTAGAGCTGACCCAAAAAAATTAGGAAAATTATCTCAGATAGCACTATTTCTGTAGCAAACAATCCCATATTATATCGATATTATCTCGATACTGTCGATATTACCTCATTATTTCCATAGCAAATAGTTCCATAGAATCTTGATATGACATTAATCAATATTTTGTCGATATAGTCTATTTACTACTGCAATAATAGTGCTATTTGGGAACTTAGCTAATAGTGGTGTTTGAGAGCATTTCCTTATAAATTAATGTACAACAAAATACAGAACAAAGTGAACCTAATCCAGATGTAAAATTATAAGAATCCTTAGTTTTTTGGTGGCTGATTGCTTGCAGTTTTAGTACTGTGTCATGTTAGGAATGTGCCCTAAAGTCAATGAAGGGCAGTAACACCTCATCTCTGTATTATGTTCATATTAAAAAATTAAAAAATGTGTTTCATCCCAAAACATACGTCCCCGAGGTTTACGAAAATATTAATAGCATTCTAAAATTATTGAAGAGACTGTTAGAGATGCTCTTAGTAGCACATTTCAACTTTAAAATGGGCTTTTGAATGATTAAGAAGATAAAACTTTAAATTTCTAGATCCACCAAAGTTAGCCAAAAAGTAATTTCTATTTATATTCATAGCAACAGTAGTGTGATAATGATCATAGCAACATAAAACTCTTTAAACTTTTGAAATTATCCTTTGACGTAATCTCCGCAGCTTCCTCAGGAGGCACTAGTGTTTCTTAACATCAAAATGATGGTAATACTGTCAGATCGCTTGTTGCACGATGTATTGAATTTACTCAAATTATAAAATGTAAGACGGTGTATTGAGTTCATTCCAATGATAAAACGTAACGCGTATAATGAGTTTATAGTTACACATCCATGATTGAGTGTCCAATTGCAATATTCCTGTAAATTCCATGGTTGAGAGCTCTAGAAGCAAAATTATTGCGGCGTAAACTAAGAACAAACGTAGATGAACAAGTCATGAAACATTGGAAAGCGAAGATAAATAAAGCATGATCTCTCCATGATGTATTTATACATCATATACAAATATATTCACATTCAGTTCAAGTCCCATCGCTCATTTACAAAACTTCTAGTATGATTTCATGTGCTCAGCAATAACCACAAAGGAATAGTTGGGTTTCTTATTTGTCCTTGATGTAGTTTAGAACTTGAGCAGCTACTGCTAAAGAGAGA